TGGCCAGTATCCGCATTAGATTCACCTTGTGTAAAAAGTGTTAAAAAAGCTCCTTATTTGTTGAGTTGTTATCAAAATATAAAAATCTTGTATTTCTTCCGCAAGGTTTATGTAGCTTCGTTTTGGATGAGGTACTAGATGATCGCTTGTACTCTATAAAGCCGTAGTTTGAGGCTAAGTTAAACTTTTAGTAAAACCGATCTTTTAAAAACACACAAGAATAAAGAAATGCATAACTTTATAATGCACACTTCTCTATTAACGGTTCATCCGATCTTTGGACTTTATGTTTGTTATATTATGTAGATGTGCGCTTTCTGCAAAAGAAAATTTGTTCATTCTACGGTTCAGAAGCTATTTTGGCAGCAGTGATTATTTTCAGTATATTTAATAGACGGCTTATGGTGTGATTCATAATATAAAAGAATAGGATAATTAAAAGAATTCTAAAGTCATACTAATTGTTACGCGGTGTGACTCATCATTAAGCAAACAGTTTTACTAATGTATGTGTGCGAATTCTGATATAATGAAGGATTTTCTATGTGTGTTCAGCATAATAAATGTATTGTTCGGTTATGATATATAATAAGCAGTTATATGGGTTTTACATATAAATATGCACAGATGTAGTTAACTTTTAGTTTTTCTTAATTTTGTCATAGTGTATATAACACTGCAGGCTGTTTATGCCGTCTGAATACCGCCGTAAGAAATTGCTTAATGTCACCCGTCAAAAAATTGGCAGTTAAGCTGCAGTCGACCCTTTTCTTCCGATCAAACAAATAATTCCGTGGAAACAACTGTAGAAATAACAGCCAATGCTGTGATTTTAGAGCATACATCTACAGAAATTCATATGGCAAAACGCCTATTTATTCTTCGATCAAAAAATTTCCGTTTGTTCTACAATGTTAGATTTAATGTTGTACGAAGAATATAAAAAGTATCATCATACTATCAAAAATATTATTAATGACTAACATAATTATTATAAACACGTACTACATACACAAAAAAAATTTAATCCATTATTTAATATCCTAGTAGTCCATTTCTTTCTTGTTATTCTACTTCAGTTCAGTTTTGCATAAAAAATTGTTTTGTTTAGATCTGCTCATTGTAATAAAAAAATTTTTTACATGCATACAAAAATACACAAAAATACATTTGATTGTGTAAACATGTAGTAAAACGCTTTTCAACTACTAGTACTCAGTATCTAGCTATAGTGGTAGTTTTTACAAGACAATTCTTACACTAGCAAACAGAACTTACAGCGACTTCTCTTCAAAAATTTTCTCTAAAAATCTGAAAACAATTTTTTCTTACTCATTTCGACGAGCTCTATCCAACCATGTATAAATATCGTGATCTGCTCAATTATGCACGACGATATTTATACGGGTACCTTATCTTTTTTTACGGTCTAACAGTTTCGCTGTGCCAAGCATATTTCTTAATTTTCGTTGTAAACCGAATAAAAGATATACTTTACTAACAAGGTAACTACGTGAATTGGGCATCGACCACCTTATATATAACCTTTCGTGCAAATTCCAAGCCTATCTCCAAAGAAAGCCCATATGTAACAGTCATTAATAATTACTCATTTCAAATCGTCATCACAGTGTCAGCAAACCTGAGATGATCGTTTTTAAGAAGCAGTTCAGCACATAGTGACCACTCAGGACAAACAACTTTTTTGAAAAAAAAAATCGAAAATGTATATATTCTATCAAAACGTGGAAAACGTACTCGACTATATAGGCTATTTATGGCCGTGAAAGTTTTCGTTCTAACTGTTAAAGATTGTGGAAAATCATTGAACTAAAATTTGACTAGAAATACAGGTACGGTGACATCAAAATCTTTTCTTATTAAATCCAGCATAAGTTATAAATAAAAGGGATACGGATTCTGAATCTTTTGGCTGTCCAACACCGAACGAATTTTGGTTCTTGGACATAGCCAGAGAAATAAAAAGGGTGGTTTGGTTGGTAGGTTTTCAGGTAATTTACTTTCTGTTCAGTACAATGAGCACGCCTCATTTCATTCAAATTGAAACTAGCTGAAATCTTGTATAAATATATTACACTTATACTGATAGCGTAAATGTTTCTGGACCACACGAAGATTTTCAAGTAAAATATATTTTCTCCATCCAGGAACATATTTAGCAAAAAAGGTGATATTCGGAACCAGTGCGTGAAGCTGCATCTAATGATATATAAAATTGTTTTTTTCGATCGGAAAAATTTGGGCTAGGATCCCACTTAGAAGCTTTTGTCCAAATAAAATTTTTTTCTAAAACAACCTTATTTTGCTGAATACTGATTCCTCAATCAGAGGCATGCATCAGTTAGTTACAGTTAACTGTAAAACTATAACTGCTCTTTACTGTTAGGTAAATGTTCTAGAGTGAGTTAGTCTTGTACGATCTGCGCACGTTTTAACAGTGAGAAGGTTCTTAAAATGTATGCAAATCGTACAAGACTAAGTCACTCTAGAATATCTGCCTAACAGTTATGAGCAGTTACAGTTTTCAATTACATTTATGATAGTTACAGTTATCAGCAGTTTACAGTTTTACAAGTACGGTTAACTGGTAAAAAACTGTAACTGATGCATACCTACTCAATGATAGACAGCGGTTTTTATGTTAAAAAATTCCATTTTTGATCAAAAAGTCGCATGTCCGTTTGTCTAAGCCACAAATGCCTACTAGGTGCAGCATGGGACATTTTTTCTCAACCGCAAAATTCAGGGCGGTGGGCAATAAGAGGATGTAAGGAAGTGTACCCCCTCCTGCTTTTTAGATTTCTTACTTTCTCCTGCTTATAATCTTTCTCCCAAAAATTTATACCCCCTCTGATTTTTTCTCTCGCCACGGCTCTGAGCATAATCCTTATTCTGTAAGAGACTCTTATCAGCTAAGCTCCAGGAAGTGTCCAGAAATGAAAAATCCTTAGTGAGACACGAAAAGGGTTGATTTCTGATATTATTTCATACTTTTTCAGGGAGTTTTGTCAGATCTAGATAGGCTCCCTTTTCCAGGGGGATTTTATGAGGAGTCAATAGGCGTTTATTTTAGAGAGAGAGAAATTTTGGTTTGTGGTAGAGTTTGCGACACTTTTCATTTGTCTATCGTTTTGTTACTGTACATGGTAGACTACGTCAGAAAGTTCAGTATATTAAAAAGTTTTCAAATTATCTTAGAGAACGATCACTGAATGATACTGATCTATGATCAGGATTATAAGAATAGGGTGGAAACTTTCCATGTGCACGGGTACCGTTTGCGTACCCGTATCCGATCCGAAAATTTTGTTTCCACACGTACCCGACTCGACCCGAGAACTTTGTATCCGTACCCGACACGTATCCGACTTATGCCTAAAAGTTTTCTCCTTTTCGTTTTCTAGCTAAAAACTTTTGTTTTTCGGCTTGAAATGACAAACTATCATTATGTTCTCAAGTAATTGTTTTTTTAAAACTTCATGTATTTTAGCTAAAATCTTGTATTTTCTCACTAACATTTTGTGGTTTTCCACTAAAACCTCCCGGTTTTCGGGTAAATTAAAAAAACGGAACCCGTACCCGATAACTTCGTGCCCGTAGCGGAAAGTGATATAGATACAATTTGGACAAAGTACGAAAGAAAACATGCTGTAAGATAAGTGTATAAGATTCGAATACTTGATTCTACTATTATTACGAGACAAGTGGTTGAATTTATAACCAAAGGCAGTAATCTTTGGAGATCTGTGGCAATATAAACTTATATGATGCGACTTCTCAGCACTTTTTTTGGGAATTGTTGACTGGAGTAGTTAAACGAGTGATAACGGTTTATTCTAACTGACAAAACTCCAAATATCTTTTAGTGAATATTTAGCTTTTTCGAATGGGTCTTGTCAAACGCGTTAAATACATTCGCATATTTCTAAACTTTTGTCCATAGTTGTTAAATTAGTGATAAAATGATTTCGATGGTATATAACAAGCAAATAATAGACTAATTTTCTTCCATTTAGTTCTACCCTTTGCACGTATTATTATGAACAAGATCGAAGCCAAAATCGTTTAAAGACAAGAAAAGAAAAAATTTTTTAACACAAATAGTTTTTGTCTAGAAATTAGAAATATAATTATTAGTATTCTAACTGTTCAACATGATGGCAATTAACGTCGCCTTTCAAGTTGTACCCATTGTAATTATTATATTTCATGCCGTTTTATATTGATCAATATATTTTAAGAAGTAAATAATGATGTTTCATCTTGTCACATAATAGACATAAATGAGTTTTCATGATAGTTTCACGGATATAGGTAAAAAAAAATATTAAGCACTTCTCATACTTTTAGAACATGTGAAATAATTAATTTTGTATTCAATGGTATCCATTTTCATTTCTCTCTTCTATTCTTTTTTTCGTTTTTTTTGTGTCAATAGCAAGATTATATTATGCAAAAAGAGCTTGAGAGAGAAAAAGAAAAAAAACAGCTAAAGAACAAAGATGAATATATTATTTGAAAAAAAAACAAATTATAAAACATTTTAAGTAATTTTCGTATGATAGAGAGAGACTATGTTTTGTTTTATTGAAAATCTTTTCCTTAGTCACTGATAGATTATGTTTTCTTTTCTTTTTTCGATCGAATTTGTTTTGGTTGCTGCTGTTGTTGTTTTTTTGGTACGTGTGTCACTGGAAAAAAGGAGAAGAAACAAAAGTACACACACACACACACATATTCTTATAGACGCCATGTTTTAATAAATATTAAAATACGGAATTTTCTTCTCTGCTCTCTTTCTTTCTCTCTCTCTCTTTCTCTCTAATGCTTTTTTTAACCATTTGTCTGTTCTATTCAAAAGATTCAATATGTACAAAAAATCAGAATCGTGATGAATTACAAAGGAAAAGAAAAGTTTGACTATTTAAAATTGTTAACTAATGTGTGATATTACATTAACGTAGATTAAAACACCAAGAATGAGTGAAGTAAGCCAAATATATTCAACTGTTTATCTATCGTACATAGTCAACAAGGAGTATATAGTTCTTACCATAGCATGGACAATAGTAAACTATTAATAAACTCAACATCATATCTTCTGTCACTCAAACATATAAAATTAAGAAAGAGAAGAATGACTGTATCATTACAATGATGATGAGTATGATGATGCAATAATATATCATTCTTAAGTTTTTACTGTTGTCTAATGAATAAGTGTTGAAAGATGTTCATTCTTTAGATTCATGTCTTCAAAATAGTTACTTCCGAATGTTTTGACATTGATTTTTGATGAAAAAAAAGTGTATGATATTTTCATTTGTAGGATAAAACAAAAAAGAAATCATTACGTCGTGATGGTTCATATCGAATATTTCGAATTACAAGAAAACAAAAAGATGATGATGAAGACGATGACGAAGAAAATACATTTGAGGATAACAGTAATAATGAGAATAGTAATACTGTACAAAAAACATCGAATTTATTTAAAAAAAAATCTATTAAATTTACTGTAAGTAAAAATATGTCAGATTGTATTATTAAATATTCAGTATTCTCTAATTATTATTGTTGTTGTTGTTGTTATTGTTTTTCTTTTTAATAGGATCAGAATAATCAATGGAAACGGAAAAGCTCAAAAACTACTAAATCAGACAATAAAGTGAAAAGATTTGATGATGTCAACGAAAATACAATTGAGGAAAAAACAACTTTAAAAGAAAATAATAATCAATCATCGACGACAGTAAATCAAAGACAAGTACGTCCTTCTGAATTATAGTTAAACAATGTCACTGATTTTGGAATTTATATATGAATATTTTTAGATAGATTCAACATTGTCAAAAATTCCAACAGTAACTGAAGAAGATATTTTTCATTGGTCTGATACTAATCTTAATAATAGTCAAACTGAAGATGAAATATTAAATAATTTATTATCGAGAGCGAATGATTTAGAGAAAAATGTAAATAAATACACATTTGCTACTAAAATTACGTTTGTATAATCGAAATAAATTTTTTTGTTAATATCAATTAATATCAATTTTTATCTCTTTTTCCCATTTAAAAAAAATGAAATAATTTTCTCCCCTGTCAGACTACATATGTTGTTGATAAAATAGTCCAAATTAACTTTAAACTTATACTGCTTTCACTTATAATCGATTTTAAAAACTGTTTTTATTTATTTTTAATTAGGAATTTGGTACAAAAATTTCACCTGAAGCGAACTATAGACGTAAACGAAAACGTTTTATATCTATTGGTGCAATAATAATTGGTTTAATTATTATTATTATCATTGTAGCTGTCATTATTATTTTAATTACTACTCGAAAATTATCAAATCGAGATCAGAAACGTTTATCATTAAGCACATCGATATCGTCAAATTCCTAATTAATATCACTTTACGTCCTCACTAATTATAATTTATATAGATATTGATATTGGAACTTTTGACTTCTTTATCCGACCATATTATGTGTTTATTTTTCAAGCCTTTTTCTTGAAATTTTTGAGCTTTATGATTTTTTTTTTTGCAAATGATACTGATAGATAATTTCGCTTAAAAGTTTCGGTTTCAGCAAATTTGTTAATTGTTAGTTTTTAATTGATAACTTTTTTTGCGAAAAACACTTCGTTCTTAATTGTACCACAACTTTTATATGCCAGAACGAAAGTCAAAGTAAATTGACACCAATTGAACCATCTTTTACTAGCCAAATTATTTGTTTTATCAGATAAGATTTTAATTTGTAAAAATTTGAACGCGAACTATTCTTGGGGACAGAAAGCGCACTTCGTTCGGTCAATGATAATGACACTGATAAACAACAGCTCGAAAACTACCAAAGAAGAAGTATTCTGTTCTAGAGATACTTGAGAAAATTTTTTTACGGTTACTACTTTGTTCATTTTAATCAGTGTTTTTAATGAGAATTTTTTCCAGAAAGGGGCTTCCGAGTCGGAAGTTTCAACTTAGCTTTGAATATCAAAGTGGATTTTCCAAATGTGTTCTGAAACACAAAGTAGGTAAAGTTTGAATAAAATTTATTTCGGAAAAATTTTTTACTATCGCACAGCCACAGTTTTTGCACTTCCATAAATGCAATTAGCTGCACTACAAGAACAACGAAAAAAGATTATTGAAATGCGTCTATCTCTACTTTGATCCGTATATTTTACACTGAGAGTGCTTTTATTACACACATTCTTTTAGCAAGCCTTTTCTATTAGATAGTTGACAGCAAAGTGGATTAGACACATGTTCATCCATTCCTCCTCTCAACACTCTCAGCTACAAGAAAATGCAATCGAGAATGATAATAGCAGTGAATTCCAGTGCACTTGATTGCATTTATGGAGGTGCAAAAACTGCGGTTGTGGGACAGTAAAAAAGTTTTCCTAGTAAATTTTGTTCAAACTTTACCCGCTTTTATTTGTGTTTCAGAACACACTTGGAAAATCCACTTTGATATTCAAAGCAAATTCGGAAACAGTGTTTCTAATGATTGGTGATCCCCGCGAGAACAAAGTGGTTTTCCACTTTGAAAATTCAATTTCCACTGTTTTTAGGAGGGAAAACACGGAAAATGCAGTGGTAAACTGTGGAAAATCACTGTGCTTAAGATTCTCATTAGAAATACTGATCAAGTAACAACCGTAAAAAAAAATTTTCTCAAGTGCCTCCAGAACAGAATACTACTTCTTTGATAGTTTTCAAGCTGTTGTTTATCAGCGTCATTGTGATTGACCGAACGAAGTGCGCTTTCTGTTTCTAAGAATACATCAATTTTTTTTTCTTACCTCTTGGCTCTTCAGTTGGCGAAAAAAGAGACAAAAACGAAGTGGAAAACAAAATGGTAAATTTTATTAGCGTGAAGCATAGTAAACATCAAATTTTGAAATAAAAGTAGAATACTTCTTGGCTTCCCTGTCTGCTTGTATGTCCATGAGCTGACTGGACGAAAGATGACGGAGTAATCATGTGTATAGACTCGAATTTTTTTGTGGGACCCAAGTTTATTGAATGAAATTCTTAAATTTGGAAAAAAATGCATATTCTGAATGCAAAATGCGAATTTTTCGCAAAAGTCATATATCTCTAATCATTTTCAAAACGCAGTTCCATTGACTAATTGTGTATTAATAAAAAATAGTTTCCGTTCCTCTATAGAAAATTTTTATTCAAATTATAGTGCATTAATGCAGTGTACTAATACACAAATAGTCTTTTTTAAAAAAACACTATAATTCAAACGTTTTTCACATGTGCTAAGTTGTTTATTATTAAGTCTGAAATAGTTCTACAAGGACTAAGACTTGCTCTACTAATTAATAGAGAAAATAAAATCTGGCTGATTATATTATATGAGTATCTACTAACATAAGCAGGATAAGGCCTCAGTTTGTGGTCCTAGTTTCAAACTTGATTCGATCAACTTGCCAGTTTGATTAAACAAATCGATTTAACTTCCGCGTATATTTCTCAGTCGATCGATGAGATAGCCCGTGAATCGTTCTCATGCCATTTGTAGCGCATTCATGCATAGAAAAAAATAAGATTCTTGCAGAGCCGCAGAAAAGTGCTTTTTCGTATTCACCACACTCGATAATCAAATAGATTTTCTGTTTTCAGCGAGACATATTGCCAAAAGTTTAGGAAACATTTTCGAACAAAATGTCGAAAGAGAACTTCTATAGGAAAATAATATTAGTTTCAAAAGTTTCCTAAACTTTTGGCAATATCCCTAGCTAAAACTAGAAAACTTATGGATTATCAAGTGTGGGAAATTCGACAAGGCACTTTTCCGCGACTCTAAATCAACTTTATTTTTCTGTCGGTGATATAATGTAGAATAAAGGAACGATTTCCTCATAATGTTGATCATTCGACATTGGTTATATCGAGACATTTTATGTCTAATACAAAAACGTAATTACAGTATGTATATCGAACGGGTTGTGTATATTTTTCACACCAAAAATAAATATCCATCTCATTTTGAACATAATCGATTTATCGTTTCTCATTTCTGCGAGATTGCATGTAATTAATACTCATTAATAACAAACAACCTTGGCCACTTAACGATTTATTTATTTCAGATCATCATGCGAACCTTATTAATTGTAACCATTGTATTATTTGTCTACGTTGTTGCAAATGTATCAGCAGCAGGAAGTGACACAAATGAAGTAGTTTGAATTTTTTTTGCTTGCATTTTGGCGTGATTCATTTTAATGTTTTCTATCACTTATAGCTTTATGTAACAAAAAAAGTTTATTTTGATATTGAAATTGGTGGAAAAAAAACTGGTCGAATTGTCATTGGTAACATTTTCCTCTTGGACTTATACCTAAAATTCTACTATAACACCGATTTTCTAGGTCTGTTTGGAGATGTTGTGCCAAAAACAACAGAAAATTTTGCACACCTAGCTGCTGGATCAAAGGGTGAATTGAAGGCTACAACGCTGGCATTGTATTTCTATAGAATGTTTAGATTTAATTTGTAGGTTATGGTTACAAAGGTTCAAAATTTCATCGGGTTATTAATAATTTTATGATCCAAGGTAAAACTTATCTGTTTCTGTTATACGCTTTTAGGCCAGAGTAGTATCCACTGTTGACACAAGTGTCCATCATCATCCCTTGTAATGAACATTTTTTGTTTGTTTTTAGGAGGTGATTTTACACGAGGAGATGGTACTGGAGGAAAAAGTATATAACGTTTATCTCTGTTTTGTTGTGGTAAATAATTGTTCATTATTGGTACTTTCAAGGTATTTATGATGAAAAGTTTCCAGACGAAAATTTCAAATTGAAACATTATGGTGCAGGATGGTTGTCGATGGCGAATTCGGGTAATTCTCAGATTGTGGATTATTTATTTTGGCATGTTATTTATACTTTATCATGAATTACAGGTAAAGACACAAATGGATCTCAATTTTTTATCACAACGGTAAAAACCGATTGGCTTAATGATAAACATGTTGTATTTGGAAAAGTTTTGGAGGGTTTGTATTTTCTCTCATTGACGTAAAAACTTACGCTATGCGAACTCAGGTGTTTTCCTTTGTTTATTTAGGTATGTCTGTTGTTCATGCAATTGAGAAAACGAAAACTGGTTCCTTTGATCGTCCACAATCTGATGTTGTCATTGTTGACTGTGGTGTGATTGATGTCGGAGAGAAATTTGCCGTTGATAAAGCTTCGGTTGCAGCTAGTATTTAAAGTGAGAAATAAAAGGTGATTTGGCCTAATATAATGCATGCGAATGTGGGTTTTTAGTGCAGAGGTATAAATCCTTTCTGCCATAGTTGGTGATCTTTGAAGAAATCTCAGGAATTCGTCGAAAAAGTATAAAGAATTTTACCATTAGAAATAGTATTCCTGTTTGCTGTGTGATTGTTATTATTTATTTATGACTAAGAATTTTATCATGTGGATTTTGAAATGTGTGACATTTGTTTTTTTTTTCGTTATATTATTTGACAGTATAAACATACTATGAAACGAACTACGTATATTTGTGTTGCTGTGTTTTTTTCTAATAAATATACGCTAATTTTTACTATTGTTTAGAAAGTTACAGACATTTATTCGCGTTTCCATCGTATTAAACTTGGTTCATAATTTATTTATATTTTTTTGTAGACACACTAGGATTAAATCACGAGGCAACTTACATAGACGTTACTAAAATCCACAGAGTTGAAGAGAGTTATCCTTGAACATATATTTCTGATGAAAGTGTCTGAGCGATGTGTAGCCAAGTTTTTATGAATTCTTAATTTATTGCACGCTTATATTTGATGGGCTTCTGTTGTTATAATGTATCGCTTTACTCTACCGTTGATTACTCAGATTTCAGCGGAGCCTGAGTCAACTTAAAATCACCAAATATGTTGATACTATATGTTGTTCATATTAGTTTTGTTATTGCACTTCCAAAAAGGTCTAACTAAGTATTTCATGTTCATTTCACCTTATATTAATAGTTGATTCATGGGTTTTTGCACACATAGTATAAAAGAGAAAGAAAGAAAAAAAAGTCTCTTTCATTCTGTCGTTGATTGTATGATGCAATAGTCAAACTAATTATTATTTGAATGATGATGCAACCTTGAAGAAAAATTATATCATTATTCTAAGAACAAAAACGAATACTATATTATTAAAAACACATAATCACTACGCAATGAACAATGCATGGAATGTTTTTCGTAAAGCAATAGTGGTATGTGTTTCTGTTTTATAGACTAACTTTACTAACAAAAACTTACATCAACATTTTAAGCTTAAATATCTGATCACCATGGTACTTTCATTTTGAGTATCGACAAGTCTGAATATATGTTAGGAGTTGATATGTTACATGAATAGGAATAGACTGATGTAGAAGCTGATGCTAACTAAAAGTAGAGTTTCTTTTGATCGTAGATGATATGGAATTGTTTGCTTGTTCCATTTTGCATGTAGAATATTGTTCGGTGTACGTATATCGTCAAGCGTCAAAATAATTCAACTTTAAAGGATCATCGAAAGATGTCTGCTAGTAATACCTCTCCAGATGCCGCTATGGCATTAACAAAACGAAAAAAGCGACATAGAAATAAAAAGAAGTCGTCGTCTGTAAATCATAATAATAAAACGACAATCGTCTCCACTTCACCACTCCAGGAAGAATCAACGAACATTGAACCTGCACAAGTAATAAATAAAATATTTCAATGTACTATTCCGAAAGACTTAATAACAGAGACTTCCTCTTTATATTTAGCCCTTTTCATCGAAAGATTTAACTTCAGATGTACCTCAACGATTAGTGAACGAAGAAGATAGATCCAATGTTATTGATACAATAAATGAAGCAATGCCAATATCTATTACAACGAACGAACACTTACCTCAAATCTCAACTACTTCTGCTTGTAATATAGAAACGACGGACGCCAATATTACTAATATTAATGAATTCAAGGAGATCGACATTTTAACTGAAAAGGTTTGTTTCAGATGCAACACAAAATGTTTGATACAGCGATAGATTATTCTTCGTTTTGTTGTTGCGTGGCTTATACTTGGCGATCTAATCTGTTTGTTGTTTACCTTAGCAGACTTCGTAATAGCAAAAATCAAAAAGTAGGAGTAGGACGTGAATTTTCACTAATTTTCGTATTTTTCGATTCTCTGAAAAACTATCAAACTCCTATGATTTGTTCATGGCTCATTCGAAAGAGAAATGTTTACTCTATAAGATCATATATTTAGACATAATAATATGTTTAACTATTAAGGACTAAATAATAGAAAACTAAGTTATTCCATATTTGTAAATTTGCATTTTTCTCAATACTTTTTAAATATAAGCCATGCATATGGCGATCCCAAAATAAATCTTACTTCATTTTGTAGAGCAGGCAATTCTGTATCGATTTATATGTAATAGAACATTTTAAAATACTAGAATGATGTACTATAAATCAAATATTGGAGGCAGTGGAGAGAGGCATAGGTTTCATCGTTTTTTTAGTCTTACTTTTCTAAATTTTGATACAAATCTTAAAGATCTGGACATACGAACTATTTTTGAGTCATTACAGATGTAGAGCAAACATTTTACTACAAAATGAGACGTCGGCGAGCTCTGTCCGATGATTTTACACGCACTTTACGACAAGCACTGTATTTGAGACCCGTCTCCTGGTTTTCTCCTCGGTTTTGATTCGTTGGCCAAATGATAATAATTCACATATGGTTGAATAGAGCATTGAAAGTTACATCTGGTGGTATGATTTTTTATCTTCATCAGCTCATATTAGTGGAGAAAAAAAATATTTAATTTTGTGAAAATGGTTGGAAAATTATGTATGGAGGAAAAGACATTTTTCTCGTACTTTTCTCACAAGTGAATCCTTTTTAGTTTTGCGTTTAAAAACTGCACACGACTCAATGCTAGCTACTCATGTCAAAACTTGATATAAATTCTTTTCTCCTAACCGTTTACAGCAAGTTTTGACATGACTAGCTAACATTGAGTCATGTGCAGTTTTTAAACGCAAAACTAAAAAGGTTCATTAGTGAAAAGTAGGAGAAAAATGTCTTTTTGCCTGTGAATTTACTAAAAACACAGAAAATTAAAAAAGTAGGAAAAGTAGGAGAAAATCCAGAAAGGAGGACATAGTAGGACGGTTTCATAGAAAAGTAGGACGTTTACGAAGCCTGCCTTAGTATAAATGCTTTTTCGTTATGCTTTAAGTAATTCATTTTCGATTTATTAATGAATATTCTAAGCAGAATCACGTAACGCGCTTCCTTTTTTTGCATTATAACTAAGCTTGTATTTTTGTAGTCAGATGTCAGTCGGGCTATATGTGACAAAAAAGGGGATAAAATTTAGATTGAATCACGCAGGAACAAGAGATTTGTCTACATCAGTTGAGAAGTAATTGTTCCAAACCTTTTTTTAATAACATTGGGAGAAAATACTAAAACTTTCACGATATTTTTGCATTATTGCTGTTTCAATAGAGCCATAGAAAATAAGTAATATTAACATTAGAGCCCTAGCGTACAGCACATTATCTTCTTCACATATTGCATCACTGTATAACTAAAAATATAAATTGAATTGAAAAATTTTTTTTTTACTATAGACAAATGCCATTGAAAATTCAGTTTTATCGACCGAAAATATACCTTTATCATCAATAAGTTCAATATTCTCAAATATTAATCTTGATTTAATTTCTTTAAATAATACATCAAACTCGTCATTGAAACCAACAATACCGTCCACATCATTATCATCATCTGTTCAACAAGCATCAAAAAAACAAAATCAGGAACAACAACAGAAACTACAACGAGTAGTTGCTGTAAAATCTGAAAGTCAGACTTCGGAAGCTGGCTCATTGGATGCCACAGAATCAAGTATGAAACTTCAAAGAATATTAAACTTCGTACAGAACACCTTTAGAAAAAATGTTTCTCATTTTTAGCTGATCGTTTAGAAAGTGTTACTTTAGCACAACCATCAAAAGCACAAGTACGCGCTGAACGGAGAGCGATACAAGTAAGTTCTTTGATGATTATAGTTCAATTACTACAGTAGACTGCACTTTTGTGTATTAATCTTGAAAATCTGTAGCTCTATTCTTTGCTTTCTCAGTTCTACAATAAGCCATACTCGGTTTTAGGACGCACAACGAGCTGCAAAACAGTCTAAACAACCAGCTAAGCCAGATCAACAATCGTCAGTTGGAAAGAAAGTACCATCCGATTCATCAAATAACATGATGAATCGAAATGAATCAGATAATTTGACTACGCCACCAGCGACCACAACATCAAATAAAGATCAGTTAACGCCAGTTTTACCGGGTAATTTCGCTACTGCTCTTTTAAGGCTGCATCTTCCTCATTTTCGATCAAAAATGTCGAAAACTTTTTTTACTGAAACTTATAGATTTGACCCTTCCTTAGCGAACGGATATCAAGATTTTTCACGGAGGGGTTTCTGACCCTTCATTTCGTATTTACATTGCCCCTGATGAGTAGGTTGGCACTTCCTTTTTACTGCCTCTTTTTTATTAACAAAAGAAAAGTTTTTCTTTTTCTTTACAACAATAAAGAGTAAAGATATGACGCATATCTTTTGTTTTCCAACAACAAAAAGTCATATCTTTTCTTTCCTAAAAAACACAAAAGGGTTGTTGTTTCTTTCGGGGAGAAAAAAGAAAAGTGGTAAATGTTTTTATTGAAGCTTTTAAGCATCAGATAGATGTTGATAAAAGCTTTAAGACAACAAAAGACAATAAGAGAACAAATGATGATAATCAATGGGCGATATTGACTCATGATATGCTGTTGTCGTGTGTATGTTTGGTAATATATGCTCCAGTTGATTTTTGAAAGTTTTATTAACAAAAAACAGAGAGAAAACTAGTAGTACAATGCTATAGCTAAAGCTTGAAAAACTAAAAGAGGTCTACTGCCGAATCTAAATTAGATCAGTCTTGCGATACTCAGCAACTTCAAACAACCAAAATATTGAAGAAAGCGAGAAATAGAAACATTTTGTCTTCTTTTAGTTTGTTCTATAGTTGTGAAAGGTAAATCATTTTCTTTCTCAAAGCAAGAAAGGATATCACTTTCCTTTTTCTTAGGAAAGAAAAGATATACGTTATATCTTCAATCTTTACTTTTGAAAATAAAAGATACCGATCTACCGTTACCTTGAAAAGGAACGGTAAAGTCCCACGCCTACTCATGGGTATTTTGAACTTTTATTAAAAAATTTCAAATTTTCTCAATATATATAGATTTATATTTGAGAAAATTTCAATATTATCATTTTTCAAAGAAAATACCTATTCTAGTACCTATTATAAATAAATACCTATTATAGTAATTGCTTATTGAACATCCAATGGACATGTGTAAACATATGCGACACAAGTGATAGCATGCGTGAACGTATCTGATGCAAAAAACCGCCATTTTCAGACATGATATATTTTTTTAAGTCTTTTGAAAAAACATTTTTACAAGAAAGCTAAAAAAACTATTTTGTTACATCTGAAACAGAAATATAAAGGGTAAACCATAACAAATCCGAAAAAATAAGGAAAAGCTTGATTTCTCTATCCAAAACCAATTATTGATAAAACTTGCAAAAAATTTCGTAAATTCCATCACACAAATGTTGTCATACAACAGTAGACAACCCTAGACATGTCTATGTTGTCAAAAGACAAGTACTTATCGTGTCTGAAAATGTGTTTCAATGCTGAATGGTAGAATTTTGGAAATCAAAAGCCGAGGTCTTCGGAAAGTTTTTTTTAATTACTTTGTTATAACTTTTGAATGAAACAAATATTTTTCAAAAAAAAATATCGTTGAGCTTTCAGCCAAGATATCTATGGTTAAAATTTGATGCCACTCAGCTGAAATTTTCGAGTGCTCGTGACGCGAGCAGTCTAAAAACCACGATTTTAAAAAATCTCTCGGACGCTGACAGCTATAGAGGTCCGGATGGTCTTGAAATCTACAGTAGTTTTAGATATACTGTGAGACCAATGAAGAGGCGGTCGCTTTTGATTCCAGATTTGCTCCGATGAAGCCAAAAGTGCGGGAAATTTACTCCAATTTTAGCAACCTTTTACAGTTTATGACACTTCACAAACGCATTCTCCGTACGAAAATTTAGATTCTATTGACAGAATATGTCTAGTAATTTGAATTTGTCAGACAAATGTCCTCTGCGTCTTGAACCAGTTTTAATCAGAACATTGTAACAGTTTTCATATCAGTATTGATACTGATCAGAAATTCCAAAAACAATTGGTCGTAGAATTTAGTACTTTGTTTTGTATTGTTTTCGTTGTTGAACACACCATATGAAAGAACAACAAAAAATGCAGTTTTTCTTCTTATGTCTACAAAGTGTGATGGTAACTGAGTATAAAACATTAAGTCTGAAATGAAAAAATGGCGAGTTTTGTATACAGATCCTTCATCAAACTTGCCAGAAAAACATTTTTGGACTTACTCCGATTTCTGCAAATACAGCCCCCCTACGCTCACTTCTTCACGCCGCCACTAAGTACAAATATTGTCAAGAGCTCCAAAAGAGGGAAGGATACTCTTAAATAAGGAAACATAAACTGAACTTTTTTAGTAATTAACACCCGATCCGTATCAGAAGCTGATGAGGCAACATTTGGTCAGAATCAGGAACAACAACAGAAACTACAACGAGTAGTTGCTGTAAAATCTGAAAGTCAGACTTCGGAAGCTGGCTCATTGGATGCCACAGAATCAAGTATGAAACTTCAAAGAATATTAAACTTCGTACAGAACACCTTTAGAAAAAATGTTTCTCATTTTTAGCTGATCGTTTAGAAAGTGTTACTTTAGCACAACCATCAAAAGCACAAGTACGCGCTGAACGGAGAGCGATACAAGTAAGTTCTTTGATGATTATAGTTCAATTACTACAGTAGACTGCACTTTTGTGTATTAATCTTGAAAATCTGTAGCTCTATTCTTTGCTTTCTCAGTTCTACAATAAGCCATACTCGGTTTTAGGACGCACAACGAGCTGCAAAACAGTCTAAACAACCAGCTAAGCCAGATCAACAATCGTCAGTTTTACCGGGTAATTTCACTACCGCTCTTTTAAATAAGAAAACGTGAACTGTACTTTTTTAGTAGTTAAGAACCGACCCGTATCAGAATCTGACGAGACAGCATCTGGACGACCGAAGTATATAAGAACCGATTCAATCAAGCCTTCTCCCCAGCAACATCCACAGCAATTGCAACATCAGCAGCAGCAACAGTCGCAACAAACAAAGTCAGTCAATATGGAAGAACGTATTACTCTATTTGAACATCTGAAAATATTTGAAGGAAACGTCGATTTATTAACATTGACACCGTACGTAGAAGAAGAAGTACCGATTTTGTAGAAAATCTAATCAACACAAAATATGCTTTAGTGAGTCAAGACGCATTCATCCTGCAATAATCAAATTGGGTTTACAGTTCGCCACTGGGCAAATAGCTGGCTCGAATCTTCGTTGTGTATCATTTCTAGTGGCATTACAACAGGTAATATTTCCCATTTTTATTCTTGTTTTAAGTTGTTTTTGATCATGAACTGCTTTCCGTTGTATTTAGATGTTAGAAGATTACGAAGGACCTCCAAGTGGTGTACCCTGTCCACGCGATTTAGAAGAAAGATTGAAGACATGTATTAAGTAAGTGATTTGACTTAGCAATCATTTTTCTTACATTCTTCTCTATTTCTGTTTAGATTTCTGACTAAATGCCGCCCAAACGCAGTTAGTATGGGCAGTGCTATCCGTTACATAAAAGCTCATATAACAAAACTAGATAGAAATATCTCTCATCAAGAAGCAAAAGAAGTATTAACTGATGTCATAATTCGTTTTGTACGTGAAAAAATATATTTATCCGGTGAAGTTATAGCACGTACATATGCCATTACAAAAATCGCTGATAAAGATGTTATTCTTATATTTGGATAGTAAGTTGAGTATGCTTTCAATTCTATAGATTTTCACAATCGCTTTTGTTTGTCATTATTATTAGTTCGTCCCTGATAATGAGGATATTAGAAGAAGCTGTGGATAAAAAAATTGACTTTCGTGTTATTATTGTTGATGCTCGCCCTCAAGAACGTGGTAAGTAATCTAGAACTCTACTCTTTGTTGTTAGTTTCAGCAATACAATAGGATCTGAAGTTATTTCTAGGATTAGAATCAGCACGTCGTTTATTATCACTGAATGTGAAATGTACATATGTGTTAATTAGTGCTGTACCATTTATTATATCTGAAGTAAATGATAGATAAGATAGTTTTGTTTCAACGATAAAGTTATGTAAATTTGATTAGGTCAGCAAAGTATTGTTGGGTGCTCATGGCCTGTTAGGAAATGGGTATGTAATGAGCCAAGTGGGAACAGGACAAATATCATTAATAGCCAAAACTCATAATGTTCCTGTATTAGTGTGTTGTGAAACATATAAATTTTGCGAACGTGTACAAACAGATAGTTTTGTTTATAACGAATTAGGTAATATGTTTGTTTTGGTTATCTTGTTAAGAATTTGTAAATAATTCTTGTGTTTGTTTTGTAGGTAATCCACATAATTTAATAAAACCACATCCACAGTTGTGGGATGCAGTACAGCGTTGTCCGAATCTTGGCGTATTGAATATGACCTATGATGTGACGCCACCAACATTTATTAGTGCAGTCATTACTGAACTAGGTATTTTACCATGTACATCTGTGGCTGTTATTATTAGAATGCAAAATAAAGAATTAGACGATTTGAGACAAGAACAGTCTCAAGCAATTTAAGATATTTTTGTGCCATTTGTGGCATTTTGTTTATTTATTTATAACTTTAGCCGTATTTTGTACCTCATTATTTTATGAATCATTTTTTCATGACAGTACCTAATAAAACTATAGTCAGTTTTTCTGAATCTCATAACTGGGGAACAGTATACGATATTGAAAAAAATGTTGATGAGATATAATTTTAAAGCACTTTATAAAGAATCTTACCATATTTCTTCGTTTCATTCTCACTGCCTAGTAGAATTTTAGATGTTCAGCTTTCTCCCACAAACTGATCGGTTTTTTATTACATGCAAGCAAAAGTTTTCTTCTGTTCAAATAACTAACGTACAACAATTTTTGCCGCAGTAATCAGTAAAAACAGGATGTCTTACATGACGATGACTAGATGCTATTTAGGACGACATCTGTCAGCTTGTAATAATGCTTAGCTTTAATAGCTATTTGTAAAAATTATTAATATAATGCTATAATGTTATCATACAAATTTCGTAAACTTTTTATCTCAGTAAATGAACAAGATCTGTAGGAAAATCTACCAATCTTGCATCAAAGCTCTAGCTGCCATCTTGTCGCTTTGTTGTCCATATTAAGCATATACACTGGAATGCAGTTAAAAAACAGATTGTTCATTGAATATGCATTGCCCTATAATAGAAGAATTTTTTTCTCATTTAATTTTTTGTTTTGAGTTTAACTTCTGATATTATCACAAAACAACAATAAAGTTTTAAGAATAAAAACATTGTCGTTAATGGCAAAAATTTCTTTGTTACAACAAATGTTTCTCTTTGACTGCTTAATTGAGTACGAATAGGCATAAACTATTTTATCGCCCGCTTTCTGTTTCTGTTCTAGCAATTTTTCTTAAGTTTAGAATGCAATTCTCGCCGCAAGTTTCAGATACTCGAGCAGGACTCTTTGAGAACTTATATTAGCTCTTTGGGAACTTATTTGTCGCATTAATCTCTACTCTATTGTAAATCTGTAGATTTGACCGACGAGTCGTTTCCACATGTTTTATTAATCATTTTTCTTTTGTTTTTATAGATTAAGATTCGGAATAACACAGTTCTTTATGCCTCCACAATTTAATATTGATGAATTTACACGGTTGAGTAAAGTTGGAGAAGGTGAGGAACAAAGTAAACTCCGAGTCATCATTGATTGTAGTTAGGTTTTCATTCAGCACAAAGGAAAGTGTAAACATGTTATGATGGTTATCTATCTGTGAATTTTCTCCAAACCTACATAGAACATCATTTTCTATTAAACTATGCTTATCTGATCACTTTTTTTCTTTTTCTGTAGGAACATACGGTATTGTTTATAAAGTCTGTCATATTCCCACAAATCAGATTTATGCATTGAAAAAAATTCGGTTGGAAGGTGAAGATGATGGTGTGCCTGCAACAGCTATACGTGAAATATCAATATTAAAAGAACTAAGACATCAAAATATTGTACAGTAAGTTTCGATTGAACTTATCATAATTATCTAACAGATTCTTATTTTATTTTTTAAATTTAGACTACGCGATGTTATATTAACCGATGCACGTCTATATTTAATATTTGAATATTTAGCGATGGATTTGAAAAAATATATGGACTGTCTGGGTACTGAAGAAATGGATCCTAATTTAATTAAAGTAACTAATAGATAACATGCACGTTGTTGTATACACCGGTACATGTCTTGTTTATTTGCTGCAGAGTTATATGCATCAGATGATCGATGCATTGTTGTTTTGTCATTGTCGGCGTATTATTCATCGAGATTTGAAACCACAAAACCTTTTAGTTGACGGAAAAGGAATTATTAAATTGGCTGATTTTGGATTAGCTCGTGCATTCAGTGTTCCATTAAGAATCTATACACATGAAGTAAGTGAAAGATTATGCTTATGAAACTTTTAACTCAAAGGAGATTGGTCATTTTCTGAGGAATAGTCTTTTTTTAATGAGTCTATACCTTTGGCTTTTAGAAGCTTCATAACAGTCGTATTTAAAACCCTTTCACAGAGAATTCTGCATTCACTAGTTTGTTGCTTTTACGATGTTGGGAGATCATATAATAATTTGTTTATAGATATTTTCATGAAACTAATGATAGTTAGACCGTAGCACTCACAGATCTGACTGAGGGCTATTTAAATTGTTTTTCCAAATCAGCGATTTAGCTGCCATTATTTAATCTTTCCAAAACGCTATTGTATGATGCACACAATGAATTTTTGCAGAATTAAAACAATTTTACATTCGTTTAGGTGGTCACGTTATGGTATCGTGCTCCTGAAGTTTTATTAGGTGCTGCACGTTATTCATGTCCAGGTAGTATCACTAGTTGATCTTTTTAAATTACCACTCATTTTTTCTTATCTGTTACTTTGTCTTTTAGTTGATGTTTGGTCAATCGGTTGTATCTTTGCTGAAATGTATACAAAACGTCCATTATTTCATGGTGATTCAGAAATCGATCAGTTATTCCGAATATTCAGGTACATTCCTTTTGTTTGTGCAATTGTGCAAGAAGAAAATTCTCATTCGAAGAACAGTCATTTATTAAAAACTGTGAAACAAACCACAATAAGACTACGTTAGCAGTTGAATGATGCTGATCGCTAATTTAATAGAATATGTGGTATTCAATAGTAACTTACAAAACTGATGAATTCCTGTTTTAGAACACTGGGTACGCCATCGGATGAAGTATGGCCTGGTGTTGTTAGCTTACCCGAATTTAAAAGTACGTTCCCACGATGGAAGAATAATGAATTAGTAACATTATTGAAAGATCGTATGAACACTGACGCCTTAGATCTTTTATTGGTATGGCATCAAGATTTTACGCAAAGAACAGAAAAGTCGATATGTATCTTTTCATTTTGTCTTTAGAAAATGTTAGTTTATGATCCTGTTCGACGCGTATCAGCCAAACAATCATTGCAGCATCCCTATTTTACGCATTTTGATCCGAAAGTATTAGCATTACCTACGATAGTTACAATTCCAGTGGTTAAAGATGAATGAAAACACTTTCTTTTTCTTCTTATAACTTTTGTCTAGAACAAATGGATGATACAAATTATGTCAGATAAGCGAAACAAATAAGTGATAAAAAAATTAATATTTGAAATTTTTTTTTTATACGATACATTTTCTTTTGTGTTTATTGCTGTCTCATTTATATTTGATTTGTTTTCTGTTATATTATGTTTGTGTCTCTCTTTTTCACTTTTCTCTGTTACCTCTTATTTTCCTGTACTTTTAAATCAGGAAGGTCTGTACAAAGATAATAATAATTGATAAATCAAAACAAGACAATTTTATGGTAAATGAGTATTACGCTCAAATTGATACTTCTCTCAAACTCCTCATTTTAGAGTGCAACTTAATCAGTTTCATCTGTGCATGATTTAATTTAGTCATTCGATTCCTATGTTCAGGTAAATCATACAAAAGTGATACGATCTGTTCAAAGCAAAAACCCTGTTAGGATACTCAACACTTCTGTACATTATAAATATGTCTGATTGTGTTTGATGAGAAAAGATATGAAAGTAAACTGAAAATTTCTTTGATTATTAGCGCACTCTTCCAAGAAATATCTCATTTCAATAACGGTAGCCTTGTTGATAGACTCATAACGAAGTTCCAACAACTATGACTGAACTACAACGTTATCTAACAACTATCAAGTTTTACGTTTAAAACGAAAATGATGTAAAATCAAAAGCATTTGAAAATGAAAAATAGCTAGTAAATTTTATCGAAAGGTTCAATATAAGATCAGAAAAACAGTTTTTAGCATTTTGTACGACGAATTTTCAAGTAAACTATTGGATATACCATTTTAGAATGAAAATGAATACAGCGCTAGTTCTGATATGTACAATAAACCTCCTAATAAGGTGGCAGACGGACTATTAGAAAAAATTTTCAAATCTAATTACAAGTTTTTATTACAAAAATATTAAACAGACAAAAATGAGAATCAATATAAGGTTATGTTAATGCTCCATAACATTAGTAATTGTTGATCCCGTTTCCCTTTCAGATGATATATATTTATATTTATGCTCAGTATAATTGATATTTAAACAATCAAACGCATTAATCATATCACGACAAATGACTTTCTTTCGTTTAGATTTTGTTGTAAATTTTAATGTTAATTGTAGAAGAATATTTGTGTTTTTCCTCAAATTCAAATAAAAATATTCATGTATAGCCACATTATTTGTATAAGATTTTAATAAATCGTTAAACATTGATTGGACATCTGTTTTAGAACTATCAATCTTATTGTCTTCCATTTAATTAATAAATCTGAAGGAACAATCAATAGAAAAACCACTTGAAATACAGCAAGTGGAACTGAAATCAGTCAGGATCTGTTTGTTTTTTAAACTTTGACTTGCAACCTAGTTAGCTCATGTTCACAAATTTTTAAATTTTCGCTTCTTTAATCCGGGTCTGAAAAATGATTATTTCTTTGGAAAAATATCCCCCTGTCTCCAAAGTGGAAAAACTTTAACAAACTAAACTCAATTATCACTGGTCCTATGAAAGCATTTTTTTTCTTTGCAGGTTTCGACTATTCACTTCAGTGTGTATATTTCGTTTCAGGCAATACATCTTAATATCATGTACAACATACAAAATCGCAAAAAGTTTTCTATCATTAGCTTTATTTCTTGAAGAAAAAACATACAATTTCAAGTATATATAGAAAAATAACAAAATAAATCTCAAACTTTGTCTACATCGTACAAAATAAAGAAAAAGAAACGCTTAATACCATACAGATATCAAGTTTCTCTACCAGATTTAAAGATTTGTCTTTTTAAACACCGATCATATCCATTCATTGCAATGAAAAACAATATTAGTGACTTTCTTCGATGATAATAATAATTTAATAGTTACTTCTGCTTTATTAAATGCAATTTGACATATGAATAACGAGTTTGATTATGTTTCGCTAGCGGAGTCAAATCAAGCTAAAATGGAACAAAACATTAAATATAAGGTTTCTTAGTGCGATATACACGTACAATAACAAAATATGGGAAGCATACGCCGAAAAAATGTTAATAAAATATTATAGGCCATGGTCATTGATTCTATTAGTTAGCGGAGATTAGATGAATAGTAGACAATATGACTAGTCATAGTATGAATGTATAGGTATATAGATTGTAAGGATGTGACGTGTGAGACCACTGGGACAACTAATATTAGAAATTTTTGAGAAACGTTGTCCAGTGCCTTACTCTCCCCACATTTCACATTTCACCCATCAGACATTTATATACAACCAGTATATCGACGAGATTAATGGCACTGGTCCTATACAGCCGACCAATCAATTCGCAACGGCTTGATGAAGAAAGTTTTTTTAGAATTATCTGCAAGTTAAAATAGTGTAATCTGTAGATTCCATAGGTCGTTACAACCCGTATATTTATATATTTCTACTATCACTAGTCTGAGAATGATTCAGTGGTCTCGTATGTTCCATAGACTGTATAGGATGACATATGATTTCAGAGCGATTTGACTAAATAACTTTGAAAAAGGTAATACATGACGAATACTAAAGAAAAGATCTTAGACTATAAAATTGTCTATGTTGAATATATTCTTGTCCGTCTTACCGTGATGTAGTTGACCAACGGTATTTTAAATTGATTTTCGCTGCAGCAGCACTTTATTACATTTTGGATAGAGTGCTTAGAAAAAACGATTGAAGAATTAGTGGAGTATACATGACGACTTTTCTTACTAGTATCATGCTACGTTCAGACTGTACATCATTATCAAAGTGAATAATACAATAGATTTTCTGTATAACTTTAGAGTCATGAAAAGGTTTGCTCAATAAAGTTCTCTCTTCATCTATTGCATAACTGTCTATTAGACAATACGATTACAGATGTTATCAACTTCAACTGGATTCTGATTTGTTTCTAATTATGAAACAAAAAATTGTATTCCTATCAAGAAGACTTTTGACATCAGCAGTGTGATGAAGTTGTAATAAAATTTCAATTTTACCTTTACTTGTATTCGATAAATTTTTCTTTGCTATGTTAACCTTTTTTGTTATCGACGTCAAATGGCTAATTATCAGCTATAATAAAATAAGAATAAAAATCCATATTTGAACAGTGTTGTTTGCATACCATATAAGTTTGCTTTTCTTTAATTCCAAATATTTGTTAATAATTTTTCTGCCACAATATTTTTATCAAAATTAATTATTAAAAATTATTTTATATATTCTAATCCTATACTAAAGAATTCACTATAACTTCTTCCAGTTCAGTTAAATTAGATTTATAATGACTTAATCTATCATAATGAAACATCATTTCATTTTTTGTAGTAAATTTTAAATCATAATCATTAATATAAAGTCATCTTACATTTTCGATAACATCTTTTCCTAATGTTTCAATCTTACCACTAGATAAACTTTTAAAGTGAATTCCACTGGGTTCTGAAGTAAACAACAAATAATACCGAAGGCAGACATTTTGACTGGTGTAATAACAGAATCAGGAGCTATCTAATAATATTTTCATACACTCTGTTGTTTAAAGTCAAAACCACACTCTTTATAAATCTGGATGTTTCTTCTATTTAATCTAAAAATTAGAAACATTTCTGATATGAAGAAGCAAAAGATGCTAGTAAAAGAACGGACTGATTAGCTTGATCTGCATACTGACAAGCAACTACAGAAAAGAATGCACACAATCATGCAAGAAAGTCACAATAAGCCGCTAGCGACTGTGTGAGAGGCATGTCCATTGCAGAATGCCTTGATCCATAAAGAACAGAGAGTTATAACCGATTGGCTGAATATTCTACTCAATCACTAACAACACAAATGAACATCTTTTTAGAGTTTTTTGTGTCCACTTTTGAATTTAAAATTCTCAAGATTCCCCAATGTCGTTTTAATCTGTGAGTGTTTCTGGCGGTCAGTGATCATCGTCTGAAGTCACCTGTTGACAGTCACGGCTCATCTGATCAAGAACACGCACTTAGATGCAGCTGAAACAGTGAATAAACGTAGCTGAATTCCTTTCTAAATCATCTTGCTGTTACTGTAGGTCTTATCTAAGGATAATATTTGCTAAAATAGTCAGAGAATTTTTTATAAACCTTATTTATTTGAGAGAAGAAAAGCACAGAACAAATCAAGACATTAGTTTCACTATATGTTCAGGAGGTACTTTTATAAGATGCTAAGAGTAGAGAGTTTCTGAGATAATTAGAGTCGTCGAAAGTATTATCAGCACCAAAATACAGTGCAGATTGCCATTTTTTTAATAACTCAATAACAGCGTAATATAGAACGTTTCGGTTTTCAGCAATCGAAAACAGACACCTGAGACTAGCTTTCCACACGCAAAAGCGACTTTTTAAAAGAATTTTGAGCAGATCTTTAGAAAACCAGTTTGGATCTCTAAAAACTGACATTGAAATAGGTCGATCTTTTTTCATAGATAGGTGGTCCAAAGGAGACTATCTCCAAAACAGAAACTATCTAGCTATGAAAAAAGGTTTGCTCAAAACCAGTTTCAAAATTCTTTTAAAAAGTCGCTTTTGCTTGTGAAAACGCTACCCTCAGGTGTCTGTTTTCGATTACTGAAAACCGAAACGTTCTATCTTACACTGTTATTGAGTTATTAAAAACATGGCAACCAGCTCTGTATTTTGGCGCCGATAATAGTTTGTTGAGGGCGTGTATAATTCATCATTTCAGATAGTAACGCTCGTGCTTGGCTACCAATCATCATAGAACACGCGTTAAACACACGGCAAAGAGTGTGAAAAACAAGTTTAATCTTAGAGCTAGTTTTCTTTTCTTTGAATTGTTGTATCTGAATTAGTTGGTAGAAAAAATAAACGAATTGATAGTATCAGTATGTGAATGAATCAGTCGAAATTACTCTTGCACATAATGGCAGTAAACATTCTCATTCATATGTCTCTTTACACAGTAAACATGGCAG